CTGGTGTATGTTGAGCATCAACACCTCGCCCCAAAAGTAACTATTCTCACAGAACAGTGAAGCATTCTTCTAAGGTGACCAATCAAACTAAAAAAAAGACGAAATTCACGAACTTTTCTTGATTATCGATTTTTCGAATTGCCTCTTTCAATCGATCCTTTTGTCGAGTATTCTTCTGTTTTACTTTTTTTAGTTCATCCACTAACAACTAAAAAAAAACCCGACTTTTTTTAAACATCGGCAAAAATATGCCTACAAGTGGCCTATTAATCTGGAAAATTTAGTCTAAAAATGGGCTCTGCAAACCACAAAAATCATTCCCCGCCAAAATGCCTCAATAAGTTTCTCCTTCAACAAAGTGGCAGCGTCAAAACATAACCTGTGTATCTTCCTTCAGCCTAATCATATTTGTCTTAAACTCCTATTCGCCGGTTGATTGAAGAATTGCCAAATAGTTGCTAGGCTCCAAAAAATAAGTTGTTAGGTTTCTGTACAATATTTGTTAGGCTCCAAAAGTTTCAAGAAAAATTATTCTTAGTCTCAAAAAAAAAGGAAAAAGAAATAACAGTTAAAAATGCATAAAAAAAGGGGCCAATAATTTCATGCTTATCTTACGCATTCGTATAGAAACCAGCAAAAAGAAGTTTAAAAAACAAGATCAATTTTTTGTCATCAAAATTTTCAAAACCAAAAAAATGCTCACTTTCTTTTCGTTTTGCCGTATTTCACTTAAAAAGCTATAATTATTGTGGTATATGTATTCATTGAATTCTCCGCAACGTTCGTCAAATCTTGGATCAAACCTACAAAAAACCATGGGATAAAATCGCGAAATTCAAAAAAAAGGTAATGAATCATATAAAACTGGGGTCTTAACTAAAGCTCCAAGGGGCCGGGATACTAGCAGAAGGGAAAAGGTTAAAAAATGAAAAAATAAAAAAAAAGGAAAAAGAAATAACAGTCAAAAATGCAAAAAAAAGGGGGTAAATACACTAAAATTTAAAAGCCAACATGTGAAATAAGTCTAATACATAAGAATTTTTGTTCCACTGGCATAATATTACCACTCACTAACGTAATGCTCCAGGACTGGAGACTTGCCAAAATTAATAAAATTTTAAAATTACTTCTTTTCCTGTAATTTTTGTTGCCCGAACGCATTCCTAAATTTTGATACTGGCATTTTCGAAGACGCTTCACGTGGTCGTTTTGGATTATCGCGCTGCAACATCGTCCAAAAATGAAGTTATATCAAACAACGACGAAGAGTAAGTAGCAAAAAGTAAGAAATTTTAAAAATTTTTGCATAAAAATTTCAAAAACTCCTAAAAATTTTAAAAATTTGAGAAAAAAAACTCGTTTTGTCCTCAACTCATCCTTCACAATCCTTCACTTCGTCCTGTTCGAGAAATTCGTTGGCATTACTAAACCGTCGGTGAAACACGCGTAAAACCTTAGCAAACCTTAGTTCCAAAAAAAACCCTTAATTTTTAAAAGCATTCCTCACTAATGGGTTGGAGATTTTGCTTACCTTTGGAATCTGTTTC